ATCTTATTAAAATAAAAAATTAGATTTATTGAAATAAATAATTAACTAAATAGAATACTATTTTTTTTTAAATTAAATCTCAAGACTAACTTTACACTAAAATAGAGCTATTTTTTTAATATTTTTATAAAAATATTTAGAATACTGATGATTAGTGTTCTTAGTTTTGATTATTTATATTTTTTTGGCTTTTTTAAAAAGAAAATTAAAAAAAATAGTTCTATTTTAGTGTAAAGCTAGTTTAGAGCTTCAATTTAAAAAAAATAGCATATAGTTTGATTAATTAGTTATTTCAATAAATATAATTTTATATAACCAACTCTCTTTATTGATTCTTCCTACACAAATTGTCAAAAAACAAAATAGCAGTTTTTTAGAAAAACTATTTATAAAACAATTCTTTGTGTCCTAAGAAAAAAGAAAAACACAACAAATAATATATAGTTACAAGAGGAAGCAAGATATATAAAAAAGAAACCAATAACATATAAAAGAAAAACAAAATTTTTAATGAGTTTTTGGTGCTTTGGAGAATATTTGTAGGAATTCCTCTGGATCCTAAATTGCAGATCTGTTTATGTTGCATAAAAATTAGTAATAACAACAAAATAAACACATGAAGATATAGATAGAAAAATAAACAATAGTATAAAAACAATAATTACATATAGAATAGTATACAGATATAGAATTTTTAGAAAATTCTAGAAGAAAATAGAATAATGTGAACTAAATTAGAACAGCTAGTGCATTTAAAAACTGAATATAGATTGATCGAAAAAGAAGACTTTACAGAAGAAATTATAGAAGTAGAAGTCAATCTAGGAAGAAGAGTTCTAGTAAATAAAATAATTAGGCTGCAAAAAGTCTTAATAATGAAGAAAGAACAGTATATCAGAAGCTAGTTAAAAAAGAAACTAAGAAGAAAAGAAAATGATTGCTAGAGAAAAAGATGATGCTAGCTATAAAAAAACTGAAATAGCAAATAGATTCAAGATGGTATAAGCAATTTAAAGAAAAAAAAAAGACTAATTAGGCTTAGCAAACTAGAAAGATAACTTGAGAAATTATAATAAAGTTTAAAGAAGAAATTACAAGCTGACATAAGGAGATGATAGCTATACTAGAACTTAAAAATAAAATTATAAGGCAATACTTAATAGAAAAGCTTGAGAGAAAAATTATAAAACAGTACAGAAAGAAAAGACTAGAGAAACAGAAGAAAAAAGAAAGTAAGAAAAAAGCAGAAGAAGAAAGTCTTTATAATATGGAAGAAATTAGAAGAAGAATATTAAAGTGAGAACAAAAAAGAAAAACTGAAAAAGAAAAAAAAAAAGATATTAAGAATCTTCGAATATAAACTAAATCAGAGAAAAAGAATAAAAAAACTTAAAAAGCCTCTGACTCAAGAGTATATACTGAGCTAGAAAAAAAGAAAGAAGAAACTGAAATATAAAAAAGATGTATTTCAAAGAAGACTAAGCATTAGAATTAATTATGAAAATCGAGAAGAAACAAGAAGCAGTAGACAAAAGCTTAGCTAGTCATCTTGAATGAAAGCTAAAGTAGATCCAACTGCAAATATATCTTTAAAATAAAACAATATTAACAAGACAGGTAATCACTGATTTGAGACCAAGGGGTTTAAATTCTTA